TTTTTGCCTCAATAAATTATTTAAAATTTTTAAAATTTAATTAAAAAATTTAAAATGACATATAAAATAAATTTAGTACTAATTAATTAGTACATAATCGGGCCTCCATTTGCTTCAATTACAGCCCGAATTCTTTGTGGCATACTATCAACCAAATTTTCAATAGTATGTATGGGTATTCCTCTCCATGACTTCTAAATGTTAAAAGGCATTTTCGATCGGATTGATGTCTGGACTTTGAGCGAGCCACGAAAGAACGTGCAGATCATTTCTGCATGAAAATTCTTCGCCTGCTTCATTTTGTGGGGCCGAGCATTATCGTTATCCTCTTGAAAACAACCATTTCGGAAATGCATTTTAAAGTATGATCCAGGTCCTAAACGTCATATGACCGCAGTATTGCTAAGTCACATGAAATTCCGATATTAAATCGCACCTAAAAAGTGGTGTTCGGAGACTTTTGGCGTCCCTCTGTATTTGGGAGTATAAATTTTCCATTTTGTTAAATCTTTATAATGATAAAAATAATAATTAAAAAGAAAGAAATTGCATCATAATTTGATGAGTAACTAGAAGTAATTTATATAATTTGTATATTATCTTTAATTAATATTTATATTTTAGTATAATTATCAGAACTTTCAAATGCACAATTATCTTTTTATGAATGAAAAAATACTAAAAGAAACCTTAAACTTTATATTGTTATTATAGAAAAAATAATATCATCAACTACTAATATTAGTTATAAGATTGGAAAATTTTTAAAATAAAGATTCTAAATGAAGATAAAGGTAAAACTGATAAAACTCATTTTTGTTTCTAAGTTTGACATGGTAGCTAAGAAGTAAAAAAACTTTTCATCTATATTGTAAAAATGGAAATTCGGCGTAGAATTTTTTTTTTGATTATTTGCACTTTACTAAAATGGTAAAAAAAAAAGAAAAAAAAACCGAAATGTACTGTACATAAATGCAGATTTACTGAAATCTTCTTCCCCTGCATGCCCATTAAAAAATGGTCAGAATTATTTGTGAAGCACATGTGACGGATAGGTCATGACGAAATTGCTTTGATAATTATGGGTAATATTATCTGCGGAGGGATGTGATAAAAATATATCACGTGCAATTTCGTGACATTGTGTGAATAAGTTAGCAGTGTTTAGAAACAAGTAATTTATAAACTTACCAATGATAACAATGATGATGATATCAAGTTAACAAATTATTTTTTATTTTTTTTTTATATCTTCACACATAAAAACTGGGAATTAATAATTGAACAATTAATTTCTATTATTTTTGCCTTATTTTATAATAGCTTAATAAATTGTGTGTGCATCTGTTTCAGCCCTACCTCATATCCGGTACGGTTGCATTAATTACGCATAATAATATCAGGAGCTCAGCGATACTGCAGCGTTTTAATTTATCTTTCATAAAATCATGTATAAGATAAAATTACAGATTTCTTAATTAAGAAATTACATATTGTTGCTTTCAGTTCTTTCACCATAATTGATGAATCTATATATGATCATCAAGGATTAATTAAATTATTTTATTTTTATGTTTGAATCAGGAGATTTATTTAATTATTTAAATAACTACCGCGAAATAATTCTAATTAATCATTATTATGCAACGAGCACGTTTAATATATCCTCGAAATCCATAATACCAACGCCGATATAAAAATAGATCTAATTTAAACTATAAAAGAGAAAGAAATAATCTAACGATTTTTTAATAACTCAAACGAAATAATTTTTTTTTAATAAAAAATTCATCTCTAAATCTGTGTCAAAATTCCATAAGAACCCACAATCTATAGGAAAACTAATTCTGAAGTACTCCTATAAAATCACGTAAAAAAATATTCAAAATAATCCTCCAAAGCGTCATAACGCTTTAGCACACCCTCATCGTCGCATTTTTCAAATACACTAATTAATTTCTCAAAATTCAATTTGTAATAAGGAAGCTTTAACCGATTTATAAATATTTTTCATTCCACCTGGAAACAAATTTATATATTGTTAACTGAAGCCACGAACAATTTAAACAATTTGTTCCCATCAAATAAAAATAGGTCCGATTTGATAAAAATTAAAATCAATACTTGATGGATAGCATGTATAGCCGAAAAAATTTGGATAAATAAAAAGAATAAAATATGGTTAAAAACAATAAAAAATATCCATAAATTGAACGTTGCGTTTCATTTCATGTTAGTTAATTTTAATTATTTTTCGGATTTTATTGGTTTTTTATTGTTATTGAGCCAACAATATATGTAGAAGGCACATTTATTTTATAATTTTCTTTTCCTTTGTGGCATGTTGATGATAAAAAGACTTTTGAATTTGAAGACAACATTTTAAAGTTACATTAAATGTCAAAAAATTGCATCATGCCTAAAAAATTCCGAGCATTACCAATAATCGAGGGCGCAGGCACTTGATATTAACAACATGCTTTTTATGTTTACGTAACACAAATTTTTATTTAATAATCAACTCATTTCCTATTTTTGTCATGAACTTATACGCCACGATTTCTTTAATGATTTTTTTTTATTGAAAATATGTCTAAACTTAACCAAGACGTACTTTGTTTAGTTCTCAAGGAACTATCATCTTGTAAAAGTCAAAGTTGGACGTGTGAACCGCTTTATTCATGTTTATTTGTAAACAAACTTTGGTGTGAAACTGCTGTACCTATCATTTGGAGTAATCCATGCTATTTAATTTCTATCAAAAGAGTCACGTTTTCTTCTCAAGTGTCAAGGAATCGATTTATTTCCAACGCAGCATGAATACCATTTATTCGATTACATAAGTTACTGCAAATATATGAACTTTTATTGCTTTGAAGTATCCATCAGATTTGGACTTGATTCTTCCAGATACAACAAAGAACGTCGACTTCATTGTATAGAACAAATTTCTAAATAATTGCTAGTAAATGTTCCGCTGTTAAACCTTTAGATATGATGAATTTAAAATCACGTGTAAAACATCAATTTTATCATAGTAATTTAATTAATGATGCGACATTTTTTGATGTATTGGAAAATACCTGTAGAACATTAGAAAGATAAACATCGTGTGTCCTTCGTATGACAAACTTCATAATTTGGGTTTAGCTAGATTAATCGAGGTTCAAGAGGGTTTAAAATGTTTCGTGTTTGTCAAATCTAGCTAAAGCTTTTAAACAAGAAATTGGTGATGCTTTGATTAACAAGCCAATTTCCTAATTCATTTTGAATTATCATACCTTCAAATATCCTTTCATCCTTTAATAATTTATAAATTTAAAAATATTTGGTAGAAGTGAAGCATCAGCTTGAAAGTCATTTAGAATTATCATCATTTTCTAGACTTTGAATTCTTATGATAGATACAATTTCTTATAACGTTGCGATAAATTTAATCAAAAAGACCGAAAGAAATCTCTCGGAGAACTTTCTGGAGAGTACCTTCGTGCGGTTTACGAGCATTGTCCGAACATCAAATCATTATCCTTAGGGACAATTTCGAATTTGCTACGGATTTTAAAAATTTATTAATGAAATGTCATCGGCTTCGAAAGATTGTCATTCAAGGGTTAATTTTTATAAACAAGTTCGAAAGTATTATTTGATATATTGGTTGAATTCGCTCCAAATTCCTTACATGAAATTAGAATTATCGGAATAACGTTTCGAAGGATGATTTTGAAGCCTTTTTCGAAAATTGGAACCGATCGTTTTAAATTTCTATGTAAACCTTATTACAAATTCAATTTTGAGAAATTAATCAGTGTATTTGAAAAATACGATGATGTTTAGGAGGATTATTTTGAATATTTTTTTTTGTGATTTTATAGGAGTGCTTCAGAATTAGTTTTCCTATAGATTGTGGTGTGTTTATGGAATTGTGACACAGATTTAACGATGATTTTTATTAAAAAAAAAATTATTTCGTTGGAGTCAATTAAATAATCGATTATTTCTTTCTCTTTTACAGTTTAAATTAGATCTATTTTTATATTGGCGTTGGTATTATGGATTTCAAGGATATTATAAACGTGCTCGTTGCATAATATTAAGTAATAGCTGTTTTAATTAGAATTATTTCGCGATAGTTATTTTTAATAATTAAATAAAACATAAAATAAAATAATTCCAGCAAAATATAGATTCATTAATTATGGTGAAAGAACTGAAAGCAACAATATGTAATTTCTTAATTAAGAAATCTGAAATTTTGTCATTATACATGATTTTATTAAAACGCTGCAGCATTGCCGAGCTCCTGATATTATTATGCGTAATTAATGCAACGTTACCGGATATAAGGCAGGGCTGAAACAGTTGCATACACAATTTATTAAGCTATTATAAAATAAGGCAAATATAACAGAAATTTAATTGTTCAATTTATTAATTCCCAGTTTTTATGTGTGAAGATATGACAATAAAAATTAAAATAATTTGTTAACTTGAAATCATCATCATTAATGAATATTGTTATCATTGGTAAATTTATAAATTACTTGTTTCTAAACACCGCTAAATTGTACATGATATATTTTTGTCACATCCCATATTACCCATAATTATCAAAACAATTTGCAGTAACCTTAATTATCGATCATTTACTAATTGATGATTTTGCTAGTACAATTAGTTACTATGTCAAATTGTAAATAACTAATTATTAATTTATTTATTTATTGAAAGTGCAATTTTTATAATATTTCTTAACTATTGTCACTTTTTTGTATTTGTGATCATTTTTTCTTTTTTTCATGATAGTATGATCTTCATCGCATCGGATACATGTGATACAGAATTAATACTTTGTAAATGACTATCTTTTTGCATAATTTCTTAGCAGTACAGAAGCTAGAAACATTTGAAATGGAATCTTCCTTTAAAAAAATAAATAAATTATTAAATAAATTATTATATAAAATATCTTAAAAGAATTATTTTTGACATTTTATGATTACCTAAAATTCATTTTCTACGTCAAAATCGGAATCACTTTCAGATGTTGAAGTAAATTGAGAAAAGTCAGATTCACTAATTGAATTTTTTCATTTCTAATATATGAAATTAGCAAAATTACATTATTTTTTTTTAATAGTATTTAGAATGTAAGAAAGTACTTTACATTTGTAGTATTTGGGTATGGTAATAAAGGAAGTCCATTAAGTCGGTTAACAATTCCAGAAAGAGCTTCTCTTTTGTGATTATTATTAGGTTTGGCATATGCATAGTAATCACCAACAAATTGATGACCAGTGATTGCCATACCAGTATTTTCAGGAATTTCAAGATCAAATAATTCAAAAATACTTGTTTTTTTTTTTCAGAATGATTTCAAATATTCCTTCCTTTTATATCAATATCACATTCAACACATATGGTTTTAAACAAAGAACGGATGGAACGATCTGCTATTTGCTTATCAGTATACCACTTCTCTTAAGCTATAGCTAATAGAATACAAAGTTATTTATGCTAAAATTTTAGTAAATGACAGAAAATAATAATTAAAATTACCATTAGCACTTCGGCTAACTGATATATAAAGGTATAGACATTTTCCTTTTTGAGGTCAAAGAGAAAGAAATTTCCTGATATCATGATTTGGACTAGCAATTCCAAGAGGATCAGGAGGAAAAGGAATATTTAAGTCAAATTGATTGCTTTAATTCCATCCTGATCATTTTTTTATTGACCTTTTCTAAAAATAATCCCATTCTGAGTATCAACTAATTGGAAAGCAAGCAAAATAATATGCTCACCACCTCTTAGTATACACAATATACAAATCCAAAAGAAAACTCATTTTAATAAGCCTAAAAAAATATTAGGATTCAAAGTTTCATGTTGAATAATATGACAAATATCATTAGAGAACAATCTATCAGTAGATTTTATTTTACCAATACCCTTTTTTTATATTTTTAAGGAGAATATCAATTCATATATACAATTCAGAAAAATCAATCTTATTATGTAGATTGTATCGTATCGCCATCCTAGTTTAACATCTTATAAGTATCTGCTAATTGAAAATAAAGCATTTTTTAAAGAAGTTTGTGAATAACATTCACCCTTTTTAGAAATTACACCACAGAGGAATCAAATAACTTGTAATTCGATAGTATCTTTATTTTAACTTTCTAAAGAATAATTATAATTAACATTTACTCTCCACTTATTCATTATTTTGACCCATTTTTCAGTATTAGCAATTTTGTTTTGAGGAACTCTATCTTTTGCAAGTACTGATAATTATTTAAAAAGAGGGTAAATAATTACCTTTAGATAAAATATTTTATGACATTTTATATTATCAAAAGAAAAAAAAAATTTTTTTAGAAAAAAGAAAAAAATATTCCATTATTTTTATAAGAAAATTGTTTAATAAAGGCTAAAAAAAAAAAAATCTAAATTAAACTATTTTGTGTAAAACTGATAAAACAATTACTCAGTTACATGACAAAAATAAAATAAAATCATTAAAAGATAGAGAATAATATTAATAAGTTGTCTGCAAATTTTTATTATAAGTTATGAAGACTATTTTAGAGAATTCTTAAATTTTTTATGATGATTGGTAAAATCAATCACATAATTTAAAATGTAATTTTCTCAAAATTGTATTTTTATCTGAGCCTTACCTTTTGCTATGAAAATTCTTATATATAAGTTTATTATAAGAAATCTATTCTAATATATTTTTATTACTTTAAGTATTTAATTAAGTTTTTTGAATAAATTTATTAATAAATTTATTTTTACTAGAAAAAATTTATTAAAAAATTTTAGAATAACATTATTTATATCATTTATAATTAGTATTTTCTTTTTATAATATAAATATATTCATATTTTTTTTTAAATTATAAAATTATATTATTAATATAATTATTAGTAGTATTATTATTTTATATATAAAAAATATAACACTTATTTAATTAAATAAATTGATTATATGGAAGGATTTTTAGAAAAATCAGATTCTGAGAAATTTTTGACTAAAATTAAAAACTTAATACATTTTAATCTAATAACATCAAAAACTAAAATACAATAAAAATCTTAATTTTGCTAAAAAATTCTCAGAATCTGATTTTCTTAGCAATCAACCTATATATTCAATAAATATTATAAATTATATTATTAAAATATTATTTTAATAATTAATAAAATAACTTAATATCTATTATATTATTAATAATATTTATTTTTAAATAAAAAAATAAGTTAAATTAAAATTATAATAAAAAGTATAATTAAAGATTGATAATTAATAAAATATCTTACAAACTCAATTATTAATTATTTTTTTAAATAAAATATTAAGTTAGGTTTAAATAAAAAAAAAGTATAATTAAATATTAATAATTAATAAAAATAACTTACAATCTAAATCATTGAATATTTTTTTTAAATAAAAAATTTAATGAATTTAAAATTGTAATTAAATACTAATAATCAATAGAAAATTACTTACAATTTAAATTATTAAAAATTTGGTTAATATTTATAATTAATTAAATTAATAAAACTTACTTTTTATAATATTATTATTATGAAATTAATTGATTTAATAAATTAATATATATAGTTAATTTTATTAATAAATATAGCTTACATTTTATAATATTTTAATTGAGCTTAAATAATATATAAATTACAATATAAATTATTAATAAAAATAACTTACTGATTAAAATTGTGATTTATTTAAAATAAATTAGTTTAAAATTATTGCTATATAAGAATAAAAGTAACTTACTTTTTATAATAAGAATTATTAATTATTAGTTATTTTAAATAAATAAAAAAAAAATTAATTATAAAAAAATT